AGTTTATACCCAATTTTTGGGTAAATACTCAAAATAGGGGTACCTTTGTATGGGGGCTACCAGTAAACGTGGACCTACATACATAAAATTTTGCATGAACATTTGGTACCCAAAAAGAACTCTCTGTGCCAAATTACAGCCAATTTGGCCTTAAAATGTGTCTAATAGGCAAAAAATACCTTAAATCGGGAGATACGGTTATATGGGGGCTATATCAAAACTTGGACCCAGGGTCCCCATGTTGGATTTCTATATTTGCTTTGACATTAGAAACATGTGTGCAAAGTTTTGGCCGCCTATGTCAAGTGGTTCGGCAGTTAATGAGTTTATACCCAATTTTTGGGTAAAAACTCGGGTATTTACCCAAGTATTTACCCACGTCTTTAAAGTATCGTAAAACTATCCATTCTAAATCGATTTGATAACAGAAATCCGGAAATAGGGTGTAAGATGTTGTATTACCGAGTCAATATAGTAAATACCCAAATAAATACCCGCAAATGGGTATTTACCCGGTATTTACCCACCCCTTGGGTATTTACCCGGTAAATACCATCTCTATTAATGTAGAATATTTCCCCCATTGATTGCAAGTCGCTAAAATTAAGTCATAAGGTAGTAATCGGACCATAATTGAAATACTTTGGCATTTTTACCCAAAAATACCCTATTTTGTATATATCCAATTTCAAATTAATTTTTTTGGTTATATATAGAGTAGTTACCGATTTTAGTTAGTCGGAGACCTATAGTGAAATTTTGTGTAGAATATTGATACCAAGCCAATACAAGCAAGTTTTGTTAAAGATTTGGGCTAAAATTGGAAAATCCCCAAAAATAGCCCAAAAACTAACGATTTCGCTTTTGATACTAAAATTATATTGGTATATATTATATATAACGATTTCTGGTGGCCGGTGACCCATGGTGAAATTTGCTAAAAATACCATATTTTAAAGTTATCCAATTTCAAACTGATTTTAAGGATCTATATAGAATAGCTACGGATTTCAGTTGGTCGAAGACCTGCAGTGAAATAGTGTGTAGAATATTTTCTCCCTTCAAATTAACACAATACGAGCAATTTTCTTAATGATTTGGGCTATTAGTACTTGAAAAATATAATCGTTGTTCTATAGGAACTTGAAAAATTGATTCTTTAAAAATTTTCCCCATTATCGCCTCTCAAAACCGTATTCTTTCAAGCTGTATTGATATTTGAAAAATATATTCTTTAAAAAATGTTCGCTCTATTATCAGTTGAAAAAAATCTTTAAATTGTCCTTCCTCTACTGAGACTTGGATACAAATAAAAAATCTACACCCTTAAATGCCACCACTACACATTCTTTCTTGTAGTTTATTGACACACATGAAAACTACATCACTTCTCTAATCCATTAGTGAAAGTTTCATCCAAATATCCCCATTCGTTGCCGAGTTATGGCCATTTGAAAATGACCACGAGTCAAAATATAGCTGCTACAGCGTTCTGTTTGCCTGGTAACGTAAATGGGAAAACTGAAGAAATTGCAATTCCATAAAAACAGAAAAATGTCGCAGGATGTGTGGGTTGCCAGATTGTTTGCTTTGTGTTTTCATGTTAGTAGGCATAGTTATGAGCATACTTTTAGGCGCCACTCAATTGCAGTTTGTTGAAAATTAATTTGATAATATCATGCGAACGGGCTATCCGATTTGAAGTAAACTTTGCATAACCTTTTGTCTTTATCTTTGTCAAAGCTCAGTCAGGGCCGAAGATGAAACCCATTTGGTCCACTCCTTCGGGTACCTCTCACACAAAATGCAAAATTTTCAATATGTACAAATCCAATATTAAGCGAATGTGATGTCCGATTTGACCCCAACTTTGCACATGGTAATATTTTCACCAATCCAAAATCAAGTCCGTTAATGGGACCCATCGGTTCACTCCTTCGCGTTTCTCTCACACGAAGAGTCAAAATATCAAATTTTTATAAATTCAATATTAAGGGAATGGAATGTCCTATTTTACCCAATCTACCCATGGTAATATTTATATCAACTCTAAATAAAGTCCGAAGATGGGACCCATAGATCTACTCTTTTTGGTCAACATTTTGAAAAATTTGTTAATTCAATACAAAACGAATGCCAATTCCGATTGGACCCAAACTCTGCACATCGTCGTATTTTTACCAACTCTAAATCAAGTTTGAAGATGGGACCCATTGGTCTACTCCTTTTGGTACATCCCGCACAATGTGGCAAAATGATAATCGAATATTAAACGAATGGAATGTCTAATTTGATCTGAACTTTGCACATCGTCAGATCCCCAACTAGCATGGATTTTCAAAAATATATATATTTTTTTCAACCTCCTCGATTGCAACCTCCTCGATATGAACTTTCAGAAATAATTTTCCTAAAAATCGTTTTCTGTTTTTTAACCACATTCTTTAGAATCTCAAATTAAATTATAAAAAGTTTTCAAATTTTTTGCAATTCCTCTAGAATTCTAATTTTAAAAAATACAAATAGTTTTTTCCACATCATCGATAATCCAGGATTATTTTTAGATATTTCAAGATGAAAATAAAAAATTTTTGAAGCTCTGTAAAAGTTGCATTAGTAAAATAAATTAAAAATCATTTAAAATAATACTTTTTTCCATTTTTCAGTTGTTTTATTTTAATTTACAATTTTCGAGTTACGAAAAAGCAATTGTCCTACTTAGAAAATAAACTTAAAAATAAGAACAAAATAGATTTTATTAATAATCATTAAAATTATACAATTGACAAAATAGAAAAAATGCAGTTGAACACCCATAAGTCAAAGTTTTGAATGGTTTATGGTAGTTCGACTGTATTGGAAACTAGATAATAAGAAGTTAAAAATAAATATCCAAATATAAATAGAAAATAATAATAAAATATTTTTTTACATTTTTCAAAAATAAAAACAAATTTTAATATTTAATTTTAACATTTTTAAAAAAAAAATAATATTTTAATATCAGCATTTAGGACTTATACTCCATGTGTCAATTGTTGGTTTTTACAATACCTAAATTATTATACAAAAATAATATTAACTTATACGAAATTAAGCAAAACTAAAAATATAAAGCGAGAGAGAGAAACAAAAATAATTATACACAAGACGAACATGAGAAAAGTGTAAATAATAATAATTACAATTGAATAAAAAAATTAAATGTGATTCGAACTCGATTTGGTATTATTGATAACCCTTTTACAAATTAATTTTTTTCTTGGTCAATTTTGAGAATAAATTGAAAATGGCCCCATTAAACCCTCAAGTCATGACTTTAGAAGGTGGCTACTAAGGAGAAAAATATTCTCCATCAAATGTCACTATAAGTCACCGAGCAATATAAACCTGTATCGATAATATTTCACGATATAAACTCGATTCTGATTTGGGGGTAGAAAAATGTATGCTTTCTTAGTTCATTTTAAGTATAAATTGAAACTATACCCATTAGTGCCTCAAGAAGTGACTTTAGGAGGTGGGTATTAAGGTGAAAAATATTCTCCACAAAATTCTACTATAGGTCACCGAACAAAAGAAATCGATAGAAACTATATGTATCGATATAAAATCGGTTCCATATTAGGTGTACAAAAACTAATTGTTTTCTTTGTTAATTTTAAGCAGAAAATTTAAACTGGACTTATTACTTCCTCAAGTCGTGACCTTTGGCGGTGGGTACTAAGGAGTAAAATATTCTCCACAAAATTCTACTATAGGTCACCGAACAAAAGAAATCGATAGAAACTATATGTATCGATATAAAATCGGTTGCGATTTAGGTATATAAAAAATGTTTTTTCTTGGTTCATTTTAAGTAGAAAATTAAAACTGGACCTATTACTTCCTCAAGTCGTGACTTTAGGAGGTGGGTACTGAGGAGTATAATATTCTCCACAAAATTCTACTATAGGTCACCGAACAAAAGAAATCGATAGAAACTATATGTATCGATATAAAATCGGCTGCGATTTAGGTATATAAAAAGTAATTTTGTTCACGATTCTTTTGAGTAGAAAATTAAAACTGGACTCATTTATACCTCAAGTCGTGACTTTAGAAGGTGGGTACTAAGACAAAAAATATTCTCCACAAAATTCTACCATAGGTCACCGAACAAGAGAAATCGATAGCTATAATATATAGCGATAGAAAATCGGTTCGGATTTAGGTTATACAAATTTTGTTTCTTCCCTGGTCCATTTTAAGTATAAATTGAAACTACACCTATTAATGCCTCAAGGCGTGACTTTAGGAGGTGGCTACTGAGGAGTAAAATAATCTCCACAAAATTCTATCATAGGTCACCGAAGAAAAGAAATCGATAGAAACTATATGTATCGATATAATATCGGTTGCGAATTAGGTATATAAAAACTAATTTTTTCTTGGCTCTATTGAGTAGAAATAGAATGGGAACCTAGAGCCAATATCAGTTTCAGAAACAAAGAAAATCGACTACTCCATTATATTATTTTTTTCCAGAACAATAATCCAAATCGAGACTGCTCCTAAAAGTTATGCTACTGTGTCCTTGATTAAAACAAAAAAATAAATGATTATTCATTTGACATGATGGAAAGGAGAGGGGGGTTAAAACACATAAACTAGTATAAATGCTCAATATCCTTGCTTCGATCTCACTCCTATTTTCCTTTTATCCACCATGGTTCGCCAGTTACAAACAAACCTTCTCTCACTCTTTCTCCCTCTATCTTCTCTCTCCCTCTTTCTTACTCACTCTCATTACCTTACTATATAAATACTCCTAAAACTTAAGAACTCAAAATTTGTGATTTTCAAAAATTATTCAATGAAAAAATTTCCCCGTTTTCTTTTCTGAAAATTTCAATTTCTCACTCCTCCTCCTCAATTCCGCGGAAGAGTTTCGAAAAACGAAAAAAATCAAGGAAAATATTTCAAAACAAATTTTTCAATTTTTTTGTTTGTTTTCACTATTCAATTCGATTTTTTGGTCAACAATCTTCCAGCGCTTTCGTTTTGTCATACAAAATCCAATTCGGAACGGGTCTTGTACATTTTACGTTCCATGGTGCGTTCGAACCATTTTTTGATCTCCTGCACAATCAACACCGATGAGGTGAGCGAGAGGAGAAACAGTATATCATAGGCGGAGAGGGCCTCCGTTTGGAATACCATTTGCAGTGGTGGGAAATAGATGACCAACATTTGACCGATTATGGAAAAGGCCACAGCCATTAGGAACATACGATTCGAGGTTAGGCCAATGGTGAAAACACTCTTCGTCTGTGAACGACACGAGAGGGCGTTGAACATGTCGAAAAATACGAAACAGGTGAATGTCATGGTGGTGTCACGTTTCGTTTTGCCCAGCGAACCGTCTACCATTTCCCGTTGAAACACCCAAAGGGTACCCAGGATGATAATGCTGGCACTTAGCAGAACATTAACAATAACCGATTTGGTAATCATGGGTTGCTTGACATTACGTGGCTTTTGCTTCAGGACATCATGATCGACCGGTTCCACACCTAAACTTTGGGCCGGTGGACCATCCATAATAATGTTGATCCATAAAATTTGCATGGCATTCAAGGGGTTGGCAATACCCATCAATGTGGCCAGGGCAATCAGCGAAAGGGCTGCAATGCTGGTGCTCAACTGGAAACGCACAAAGTTGCGAATGTTGTAGAAAATCGCCTTGCCCTCCTCAATTGCAGCTCTAAATGTGAAAGAAAGAAAAGAAAAACAAAAATTAATAAAAAATTCCAACTCAAGACCCTAATTTTTTCCAACTTACATTATTGTATGAAAATCATCATTAACCAGGATCATATCCGCCGCCTCCTTACACACATCCGTGCCATTTTTGCCCATGGCAATGCCAATATCTGCCTTCTTCAGAGCCACACCATCATTCACACCATCACCGGTCATGCCAACAATATTTCCGGTACGTTGCAATGACTTGACAATGGCCAACTTGTGACGCGGTGTCACACGATAAAATACGCTAACATTATTACAAACTTTATCCAGTTGATGGTCGTTCATTTGATCAATCTCTTGACCCGATAGGGTTTGATGGTGTATGGTATCAATGCCAATGAGACTGGCTGTAAAGAGAGAAAAAAGAGAGGGAGAAAAAATTAGTACAAAATAATTAAAATTCAAAAGAAAGAACTTTATAACTACGAAAAAATTAAATTTCAAAGAGAAGGGGACCAAGGGGCGTATGACTAATAAAAATTCAAAATAAACGGGGAAATGGGTGCGTATGGGTGGTGTTATGCATCATACGCAGGGTGGCCACTAAAAATATTATTTTTTAGTATAATTGAAACTGAGGCCATTAGTCCCTCAAGTCGTAACTTTAGATGGTGGTTCCTAAGGAGAAAAATATTCTCCATCGAATTCTACCATAAGACATCGACCAAACAGAATCGGTAGATATAATATATATCGTCGAAAAACCGGTTCTGATTTAGGTTATAAAAATTATTTATTTTTTAGATGGTGGGTATTAAGGAGAAAAATATTCTCTATCAAATTCTACTATAAGTCACTGAAAGAAAGAAATCGGTATCTAGAATATATACCGTTGAAAACCCGGTCCAGATTTATGTTATAAAAAATAATTTTCTTCTTGGCACATATAAAGTATAAATTGAAAATAGACCCATTAATGGCTCAAGACGTGACTTCAGGAGGTGGCTAATAAGGAGAAAAATATTCTCCACAATATTCTACTATAGGTCATCGAACAAGAGAAATCGATAGCTATAATATATATCAATAAAAAATCGCTTCTGATTTAGGTTTTAAAAATATATTTTTTCTTGGTAAATTTTGAGTAGAATTTAAAACTGGTCCCATTATTCCCTAAAGTCATGGATTTAGAAGGTGGCTGCTAAGTAGAAAAATATTCTCCATCAAATTCTACTATAAGTCACCGAACTAAATAAATCGTTATCGGTAATATTTAACGATATCAAATCGGTTCCGATTGGGGCTAGACAAATGATATAACGATTTGATATCGTTATTTTTTCTTACTTCATTTTAAGTATAAATTGAAACTAAACCAATTAATGGCTCAAGACGTGACTTTAGGAGGTGGGTACTGAGGAGAAAAATATTCTCCACAAAATTCTATTATAGGTCACCGAACAAAATAAATCGGTAGAAAATATATGTATCGATATAAAATCGGTTTCGATTTAGGTATAAAAAACAATTGTTTTTCTTGGTTCATTTTGAGTAGAAATTAAAACTGGACCTATTATTCCCTCAAGCCGTGACTTTTAGCGATGGGTACTAAGGAGAAATATATTCTCCACAAAATTCTACTATAAGTCACCGAACAAGAGAAATTGATAGCTATAATATATAGCGATAGAAAATCGGTTCTGATTTAGGTTATACAAATTTATTTTATTCTTGGTTAATTTTTGATGGGAAATTGAAACCTACCCATGAAATTCCTCACGTCTTGAGTTTAGAAGGTGTGTACAGCGGAGAAAAATATTCTCTACCATATTCTACTATAGGTCACCGAACATAAGAAATCGGTATATATTATATATATCTATATAAAATCGGTTCTGATTTAGTCTATAAAAATAATTTTTTCTTAGTCAATTTTGAGGAGAAATTAAAGTTGGTCCATTAAGCATTCAATACTTGACATTAGGTGGGGATATTAAAGATAAAAATATTCCTCACCGAATTCCACTATAGGTCACCGAACAAGATAAATCGATAGCAATAATATATAGCGATAGAAAATCGGTTCTGATTTATGTTATAGAAATTCATTTTTTCTTGGTTAATTTTGATGGGCAATTGAAACTGACCCATTTAATACATGAAGCCGTGAGTTTAGGAGATGGGTACTAAGAAGAAAAATATTCTCCACAAAATTCTACTATATGTCACTGAACTTAAGAAATCGGTAAATATTATATATACCTATATATAAACTGTTCTAAATTTGTCTATAAAAAATATTTATTTTAGTAAATTTTAAGGAGAAATTAAAGTTAGTCACATTAATCATTCAAGACTTGACATTAGGTGGGCGATATTAAGGAGAAATATATTCTCCACAAAATTCTACTATAGGTCACCGAACAAAATAAATCGGTAGCTATTATACGTGTCGATTTAATCGTTTATGATTAAGGTTGTAAAAATCAAATTTGTTCTTTGTTAATTTTGTGTAAAAATT